TTAAACTCTGCCATGGTCCACTCTCTACCACAACTTCACCTAGGCCTAACTCTGCCGAATATATAATATATATACATGTATACATATATGTGTGTGTGTGTGTGTGTGTGTGTGTGTATGTGTGCGTGCGCGTGTGTGAGTGTGAGTGTGTGTGTGTGTGAGTGTGTGTGTGTGTGTGTGTGTGCGCGTGTGTGAGTGTGTGTGTGTGTGTGCACCTGTGTGTGTCACGACGCAGTGGAATCAGACGCTTGTCAATTTTTGGGCAAGTGGAGTTATTGGTATCATCTGAAAGCTTATTCATTTGCCTTGTTTTCCAGGCAATCTAACTAGAATAGGAGTTGTGATATCTACAACTGAAAAGGGTGTGGTGGCCTGGTTTCAGTGGTAAGATTATCGAGAAAATGGAGGCCAAAGTTTGGTAACTTCAGTAGCTTGAGAGTCGATGAAAACTGAAAATGTATTTTGTGCCTTTAATCAATGATTTTAATAAAAGTTTTCATGGTAATGTGTTCTTATATAGACATAAAAAGTGACGAGCCAAAAAGCAATTATTAGATAAAAATTGTCAAACTGGCGTAAAAAATGCCTGTTTCTTTGATTCCATTATTTTTTACAAGCGCCTGATTTCAATTTCACCACGATGCCCCACAAATAAAATAAATGTGAGCCATCGTAGTGAAATCAGGCGCTCGTCAAAATAATGAAATCAAAGAAATCAACATTTTTTTGGCCGATGGGCAATTTTTTCCTATTTTTCTTATTCTGGCTCAACACCTTTTATGCCTATTTAAAGACACATTTTTGTGTGGATTTTACTGAAAAACTTTGATTAAAGGCACAAAAAATATAAATTTTCAGTTTCCAAGGACTCTCAGGCTATGAAAAATAGCAAACTTTGGCGGCCATTTTCTCGAAAATCTTACCCCTGAAACCAGGCGACCCTGACCTCCTTCAACCGCAAATATCTCGACTTCCATTCCACACAGAGATGGATATTTCTTTCACCACAAGGAAGGTAAAAGAACAGGTTTAAAGATGATACCAAAAACCCCCTCCCTATGCACAAAAATTGACGAGTGCCTGATTCCACCACACCAATTATTGCAGTGTCCCTTACTGTACGTTGGGAGCACCCAGTGAGATCCGCGGCACGTCCAGCGCCCCCTGGGGGCTGCGTCCAAACAGCAGCATGTTCAACAGCACCTGCACGTGGCCTTGGGGCTGCATGTAGCCGCCCATCACACCGTAGCTCATAAGCAGGTCGCCTGTTTAACAGAAGTTGAACCAGTAGAACCAGTTGAACAAAAATCACATCGAAACTGGTCAGTTCTTATAATATAATAATAATAATAATGAAGTGCATTTTTATGGCCCTTACCCAACCCTGTGCACACAGCTCCTGAGCGCTTTGTGTCAATTAAAATACAAAACAACGACACACACAATTAAACACCCTTACTCACACATGCACCAGCACATGCACCAACACGTGCATGCACATACACACACACATGCACGCGCACACACACACACACGCACGAGCACACACACACACATGCACGCGCGCACACACACACACACACACAAACACACACACACACACACACACATATATATATATACATCCTTATGAATGAGCAATGCAAAAGCATAATATTGTAATATACACAATGCGATCCCTAGGTAAACGAAAATACATAGAATAGATACATAGTCTTTACATAATAATTTACATAATGTTGTACCGAAAATGAAACTACTGTGTTAGAAAAGATTTAATTGAATGTGTGTTTACACATTATGTCTCAGAGATTGCTGAAGAGAGTTCCAAAGTGACGGCGCAAGATGGTCGAAAGATCTTTCAGCTAATTTTATACCTTCTCTCCTGGGAACACTTAAACGAAACTGATCACCTGATCTCAGCAATCTGGATGGAACATAAATCTGAATTATATCACTAAGCTATGAGGGAGGCTTTGTTATTGACACACTTGTTGCAAAATATTGCAATTTTTTACTGTATTCTGACTGACATAGGGAGCCAATGCAATATTCTTAAGATGGGGAGTAATGTGTTCCCTTTTCTTTCTTCTACGTACAAGCCTTGTAACTAAATTCTTAAAACACTGTAATTTGTGAAGTGTGGTGTTAGGTAAGATGGCTAGTAGACCATAGCAGTAGTAGATACGGATAAACAGGAAAAATGACACCAGAGTTTTCAATAAGCATCCATTCAAAAACATGGACATAATATTCCCAATTCAATGCAATTCACAAAATAAGAGGGTACATAAATTATAATTGACAGGATGTTCCAACATTGACAATTTCAAATAAAGCTACACTTCCTTTTAAATTAAAATACAGTTTTTCATTTTCAGTACAAATGTGATTTACATCAATGGGTATATGACTTTTCTTTTGGTTACATAAAAGAATCTTGGTTTTATTCTTATTAAGTTGGAACTTAGTACCAATCATCTACAGTCAAACCTGTGTAAGACGGCCACCCATTGTCAAGGAGAAAAGTGGCCATATAAGACAGGTGGCCGTCTTAGGCAGGACTAATCAAGAAGAAGAAAACAACCATTCCCATCTGAGGTCCCAATCGAAAGTAGCCGCATTGTTGCTGTTTTTGTTGTTGGTGGTGGTAGTTTGTATTTTGTTTGTAATTTTTATTTTGTGGCTGATTTTGCACAAGGGTGACAATAAAACGAAATGTATCAGACGAGGAAGACCGAGTGCCATGTTAAAACACATGGGTCGCCACCACTCGGAGAACGAGCGATGCTTTGTCACAAGTTCATGTTGATGTCCTTTGTTACTTTGTTACAGACTGGGTAAACAGTGACCACTCATCTCACTTACGATTGTGTATGGAGTTCTGGGCGGGGCTTATGGGTTTTGAGGGATCACACGCTCACCTCACCAGCAGCTGAAAATTGGTAGCTATTGGTCAACAGTGGGAGGGGCCTACGCAACATGATCCGTTGGAGGGACTACCTAACAACAACGACAGGTGATTGAATTATGACAGCTCGCCCACAACACCAGGGCCAGTGCACAATTTATGACAAAACGTAATGGAGTCACTAAGGTGGCCGTCTAAGACAGGTGTTATTGCTCAGTGTGATAGGGGTTGTGTGGCCGTCTTATAGAGGTGACCGTCAGGGCAGGTTTGACTGTAGTTCTTGACATCATCAATACATAAACTGATTGCGTCAGTCAATTCTTTATTTAATATCTGATGGTGGAACAGATTTGTACAACTGTGAGGAAGTTGTCCAAGAAAACTGTTCTTGGTCTACCTCTGCTTCTGTTGCCTTTTTCCAGGGACAGCAAGGTGTTCAAGGCATTTATGTCTATTCAAGTGTCCCAGAAAGTGCACTTGTGTTTTCCCGATTATTCTTATCATGCGAGCTTCTTTCAGCGCTACCTAATTTTACTTCTTTCCCATTCATGAAAGTCTCAACAGTCTCTGAATAAACCAGCAGTTATTATCATCACCATCTTTCTTCCTATTTTTCACTCCTTCATATCTTCCACATGTATCCACAAACTGTGGTTGGTAGGTGGGTGTTCTGCTCCTTCTTTCCTGTCAAACGACTGTCTTACTTATCTGTCCTCCTTCTTTTCTATGAATGTTACTCACTAAAAACACCTCAAATCTTCGGCACTTAAAAGACCTAATTGTGTTGTAAGTGCTGTAAAACTCCTACTAAAACTAATAAAACCTAAAACTGACCTGTGTCGGCTGAAGTGACCATGGCCGGGATGATCGTGTGATATGGCCGCTTTCCAGGGGCTATCACATTCTTGTTGTTTGGGTCCAAAGAAAAACCAAATCCCCGATTCTGAAAAGAAAGAGGGAAAAAAATCCTTTTTTATAAACAACTCTAAAGTCAATATAAAAATTACGGAAAATGTTTTTCAGTAAAAGAGACCTGACTATGATCCCATCAAAAGAGTACCATACATTTCGGGGATTCCCTTTCACTTTTTATCTGTGCAGTTTTGAACCTATGCTGAACGGCAGACCTTTACATTTTCCAAAAGTGGAAAAGGAAACCCAACGGCTCAATCCCAAAGTATCTTGTAATGCCTTGTAAATAATCTAATAGTTTTGGAAGAGGCTTAACATATAAATTGTCTAATAGTGTTTGGGAAAGAGGGGTTAAAACTTATATTACATAACAGTGTTGGGGGAGGGGAGGGGGAGAGACTTAGAAAATACATTATCTATTGCGATGGCTGAGGCTTAAAACATATATATCTAATTGGGTTTGGAGGCGTATGCTTGAAAAATAAATAGATAAATATTTAATAATGTTTAGGGGGGGGGGGGGCCTTAAGATATAAATTGGTTGCTTTTAAGCACAAGGGGGCTATCCCGAAAAATGGCTGTTTTGAGATAATTGAAGGTAAAGTTTTTACCCCTTCTTCAGTTTCTTTAAAAGACAGCGTTTTCTCCATAACAAAACAAATATATACACCAATGAAACCAAGCTTCTCCTATAGGTAGGGCAATGCCCACTTTTGGAGTAGGTCAAGATTTCTGGAAACCCCCGAAATCTATGTTAGCCCACTTGCCCTTAAAGGCGACCAATTATCCCATAATGTAGGGATGAACAAATGGGCCTTGGGAAAGACAGGCACAGTAGTTTTCAAACATACGACTACGACAAAACGAAATGACAATATCAACCACCTACAGAGAAAGAAACAGACCACGATCTTCCGCCTACGAACAGAACATATACAGCTCAACTACCACTTGAACAGAATAAAACCAGAACTTCCCCCAATGTGTCCTTAGTGTGACTATGCATATGAGACAGTGGAACATCACCTTTTTCACTGTACAGCCCTAAATGACATCAGAGCTACACTTCTCTCTCCGAGACCTAAAATTGACAACACACTCAACGGAACATTACAACAACAGCAGCAAACCTGCACTTATCACTACATGGCATTGGACAGAAGGGCGAGAGCCCAGATGTTGCTGGATCGATAACAACAACAACAACAAAATAGGGGAACAGTGTTGGATGGCGCAGGGTGAGAGTCGAAAAACATTTCCCTGCACTGCCTACCTGCAGACTGAAGCCGCATCCCTCCGGGACAAGCCCGGATCCGAACCCCCAGAAGACGCTGTTGATGAAGGAGCAGGCGTTGCCCCACCTGTCCGAGGTCGTGAAGTAGACCGTGTCGCTGGTCAATGGGAGGTCAAGGCCACTGGTGCTCAGCGAGGACGACGGAATACGTCTGAGGGGATGGAGAAAAAAGTTTTATGGCCCCATTGACACACCTGAGGTCATTTAGCAGACATGTTAAAGATTGTAGAATAAAAGTTGTAAGCTCAAATAATTGCTTGTGCACGTGAGGCACTTTCTAACTCATCATTCTGTCTGTCTATCTGTCTGTCTATCTGTCTGTCTTACTTTTTCCTGCTCAAAATAACACTCATACTCTCTCTTAAGAACTGTCACCATAAACAGAGCAGTGTTACAGAAACTCCTGCAATCAGTTTCCAAATTCCTGACAGTAATCAAAAAGTTTTTTGTTTTTTTTAATGTTCTTTTTTTTTTTTAAGTCAGTCAGTAAATCTGGTTCGATCCTAAATATTTTACTTTTTTGCTCAGTCAATAAATCTGGTTTGATCCTAAATATTTTAATTATTTGCTCAGTCAATAAATCTGGTTTGATCCTAAATATTTTAATTATTTGCTCAAGTCTATAAATCTGGTCTGATCATAAACATTTTACTTTTTTGCTCAAATCTATATAATATATTTCACATTGTTTAGGAGGCGGGCTGCTTGAACCCAGCCTGTCAGGACTAACTCGGGCAATGTGGGGTACAGCCTCTGATCAGACAGACAGTGACACTTGATGATATAATCCTCAAAAACAAGATTTAAACTCAGACCTTCTGGCCACTACAGTGCAGAGCTAGCCTATCACACCACGCACAGACATTGGTGATCTGGTGAACTTACGCGTCAGGTTTGATCAGCGCCCGGCGTTTCGCCGCGTACTCTTTGGACAACAGCTGTTCTATGGGGATGTCTGCATGTGCGGGATCGGCGCAGTACACCAGCGTGTCGGCAAACGCCAGTCGCAGGCTCTCCGTCACGTGGTGGAGGTACTGGCCAGAGTTGTGGCCCATGCCTTAGTCGAAGAAATAAAAAAAACTACATGTAGAGTGTATTTTAGAACATGAGAGAGATTATAAAGCTCACTTGGAATGAGCTTGGAAGGATGGCCCGGGACAGAGATAAATGGAAGGAGTTTGTTTGTGGCCTATACCCTGCCAGGGGTGAAAGGCATAGATGGATGACTTTAGAACGATAATTATGGTTAACGTTTCATGGCAGGATTTACCAATTATTCTCGCACTGTAAAAAAGCTGGTCCGGCACTGAGGAAACCCTGATGTACAACGGTGATAAGAGTAAATTGTGAAGCGTGCTGACAAAATAAGTTATTTCTCCGATTTGAGCTCTATGGAAATAGATATACATCACGCTTATAGGTGAAGTTTTTACAATTTATAAGTATGAAATAAAAAAAACATGCTATACTTAAAGAATATGCTATCAATAGAAATTCTACAGATTTAACCCTAAGGTCAATTTTTTTGGACAATATCTCCATTTGTAGATAACGAGAAGTGACTCATTTTGTCATCACACCTCACAATTAATTCACAAAAACAGTAAAGGTTTTATTTATGTCAAATGGGGCCTGGCCTGCTTGAACTGACTCACTCAACACAAAAAACTGCAACAACAACAAATTTCCAAATAATGGGCAACATTAATTGTTCCGCAAAAGTGTAAAAGTATGACTGACTCACTTTTCAAATCAAATTCTTCCAGAGAGTTGAAAGTCAGTTCCAACATTTTACAACTATGTAATTACAGTGGAATACTGTTATAACGAGAGAGACGGGACCGGTGCCAAAAGTCCGTTATAGCAGGATTCTCGTTATAAGGGATCCAGTAATAAATTCAAGGGAAATCGTAAAGTAGGCCTAATCTATGAGTTTGTGGTTCTGTTTATTTCTTTTAGTTATCTCCCCTGACGATGATTTGGCTCAACATGACCTTTATTAGTCTTACTTGATCAAAAGTCGAATCAGGTTCCTTTCTCTAACGCTAGCGATGTTGACGATCAGAAAGAAAGTTTTCTAGGCTAACTCACCCGCTGTGTTGTACCCCACCCCACCACACCCTGTGGTGCGTTCCGTCTGCTTGTGCACAAAGGGAACATACCACACCCCGCCCACATCACACATTCGCTCCGTCCATCACAGTACAGCATTGTGACCTCTCCATCCCCGCATCGGAGAAATGAGAGGCATGGTAGGCCTAGATAATCAAGCCTAGGCTGACCTATCACACGATGTGTTCTGCTTGTCTGTGCATGCCACACCCTCCCCACTCATTCTCTCCAGCCTTCGTTGTTGACACACGTGGGCCCTCCCATTCTTTGTTTCGCAAGATAACCAACAACTTTCTCAACTGGCAAGGTTTTACATGAATAAATGGCCTATGCACTGTGCACAGCAGCAGCTATATTCCGCTATAACTGACTTGCGTGTTTGTCTGATTGCGTTATAGCAGTATTTTATTTACAAAGATAAAGAAGGGAAAAAACTGGGATTTTAGAATTGTGTCTTTATAACAGACTTCTCATTATTTCAGGACTCATTATAAGTGGATTCCACTGTAGTACTTAACAGTGTTTTTGATCAATTAATAATGTATGATCAGTTCCAAATAAAGGGAGAGAAAATATGAACGACCTGCTGTTTAAATCAGGGCTATCCAGAAAGCTAACAGTTTTAGCATTTAGCAACTCTCTAATTAGCAAGTACAGGCATCGATTTATTAGTTGACTGTGCATGATTAATTCCACCTAGAAGGAGAAAATAAAACTGTTCAACAAATGCAAGAGTTCACCCGACTTGTTTTACAAACATTCCAACAGAATATTGAACTAAAGTAGTAGTTCTTGCCAACCTGGGTTATATCACTAACTAGAGGATGATTTGGTAATTTTGATAGGCAATGGAGATCACCCTTGTAGTGACAGGTACCATTCAATGCCACGCTTGCAAATACTTTTAAGTGGGCGGTATGAAAATTTTTGTTTTATAAAGGTGCCAAAAGTGGGCGTTGGCTATAAATAAAGAAGTTTACAAGCACTGTTTCGGGCAGTCCACAAACAGAAAAGTGTTCCGTCCAGCGACTCACTTTTCAAGTCAAAACCTTCCAGAATGTTGAGAGCGATGAGCGCCGTGATTCCTTGACCGTTGGGCGGCAGCTCCCACACCCGCACCCCGCGGTGGTCCACGCAAATGGGCTCGGCCGGCGTCGATGTGTGGGAGGACAAGTCCGACTCCGTCAACAAACCGCCGTGTTGTTGGACCACTGCCGAGATCACTTGGGCGATCCGACCCTCGTAAAATCCTTTCTTGCCGTGAGTGGCCAACTCCTGACCAGATAAAAGTCAACGTCAACTCAGAAAGTCTAATAACAGATAATAATAGATAGTATTTGTATAGCGCAAATCCCACTCAACAGCAAGATCTAAGCACTTCACAATCTATGCTATAACCCCAGCAGACCTGAGAGAATTCTGAAACCTCAACTTCCTGGGAAGCATACAGTGCAAGAGGCCATTTATAGGTGCTAAAACACTAACATGCTGACAAGATCTTTTGCTGTCTATGGCCGGGTACCCATTCCCACCTGGGTGAAGTGAGGAAAATTAGTGTAAAGTGCCTTTCCCAAGGACACAACGTCGGGCCCGCGGCTCAAACCCCCGAACCTGCTACCTCATGATTACGAGTCCGGTTGCTTAACCCCTAGACCACCGAAGTCTCTCAAGAAATTTAAACTACAGTTCTCATTTTGCATAATTTTCATTAACTTCTTATCAAGAGATGAAAACAAAATATTTTGCAATTGTTTTCAAGAGTGGACATACATTTATAAAGCAGGTATCCAGGCCATCGTTTCCATAGAAACAATTCCATCACCGTCATAACACAAAGGGCATTTGTTTTTAAAGACAGAGAAATAACGTAACTCTTTATCTCGGAGGGGGGTAAACCCACTATGCTGGGGCCCTTTTTTTGTACTAAATTTAAAAATGACAAAAACATCACTAAATTGGTCATTAAATCAAAACAAGTGAACCTATAAATTGACAGTTCGTCATCTAATGAATGAAATCCCGATGAAAGAAACCTTTTCTCGGCAATTGCCAAAAAGCTTTTTGATGTCGAAGTCGTTGTAAAGGAATGTGCCTGAGCCGCTGTCAGCAGCTCACTGGCACAGCGGTTCCAACCGTGAGCCGCTGCGAGAAGCTTGCCGGAGATAAAAAGTTAAGAAACTACTTTTTTAAGACAAAAAAATGACTTACGGAATTGTGACCTTTGACTTTTCTGAAGCAGTCAAAGTTTCTCTTTATTTATTTATTTGAGTAAAGAGAAGCAGTTGGACGTCAAAAAAAAAATTCTCCAAATTTCTAGTGACAGTAACAACAAACAGGTGAGACATAATATGTTTTTGCTCCTTTCCTTACTTGGAGGAAATATGAGCATTTCATTTAACAACTAACAGGTTGATTCCCCTTATTCGCGTCTCGTGCACCAACCTGCCAACAAAAATGAAGTCAAACCAATAATTAGTTTGGTGAAAGCTGTGACCAGTACCTCATACGTGCGAGCGAGGTCGGGGTTCACCATAATCTGACCAGCCTTTGGTGGCTCCCCGCTCAGTAACAAAGACTTCCCGTGAAGATTTTCCTCTCTCTGAAGAACGTCAGCTCCTGTGAAAACATTATGTGTGTGGCATTATGGTGATATCACGAGTGTGTCAAAATAATGAAATCGAAGTAGCCGCCATGTATCTACCTTTTTTGTCATTTTTATTGATTTTATGGAGGAAGGCTCAATGCCTTTTATGTCCATTTAAAATCACATTCCTGCCTAGATTTTACTGAAATACATTGATCAAAGGCACACAAAAATGTAAATTAGCAATTTCCAAGGACACTCAAGCCTCGGAAGTCACCAAACTTTGATTTTCTCGTTTATTTTACCTCCGACACTAGTCAACCCCTGCCTCCTTCAATCGCAAATATCATGATTTCTATTCAAGATAGATGGGTGATGGGTATTTTTTTAAAAATTGACAAGCGCCTGATTCCACCATGTCATGATATAATATATATATATCAAACAACACTACAAAACATTGAAAGTAAAAATAGAAACATCATAAACTTTACTTTCTCTTTGAAGTTTGAGTAAAGAGAAGAACATCAACACAAAAAAGGTCATTCAGTGCAGGAAAAAAGCAAGACAGAAAGACAGCAACAAAAGATGGCAAGAAAAGAAGTAAGGCCTTCCAAAGGTGCCCTCAAACCATCTACAGTGGTTGCGTCGGTGGCCTAGTGGTTAGGCTTGGGATGCCAAATGATTTTGAAAAAAAAACCCTGAAAAGGAGCAGAGCGTCACATCTCACCTAGAACGTACTTTGTAAAATCTTTAAATGAGCAAACAAAAACATTTCTCTTACCATTCCCCTTTCCTTTGCAAATGTATGAAAAAAACGGAAAAAGCCGGAAAAACCTGAGATTTGGCATCCCTGTTAGGCTACCGGACCCATAATTGGGAGAAAGCCGGTTAGGGAGTTCGAGCGCCAACCCGGTCCAACGTTGTGTCCTTGGGAAAGACACATTACACGAATGTCCCATTTGGCTCAGTCCTTTTGGAGAAAGACGATAATCGGAGGTCCAACCTCTTAAATAACCTAATAGTGTTGATAACAGTGTTATACCTAAACAATTTTTTTCACCATCTGCCGTCACTTTGAGACAAAAACTACACAAAATGCAATTAAAAAGTTGGTGAACATTGTAGGCCTACAACATATACATATGTTCTCCATTACTGTGTACCGCTAGCCTGCTAAATCAATTAACACATTCATATAGACATGGGAAGGAGTTTTTGTTTAAGATGACCACCCCCCTCGCCCTCTCCCGCTCCCAATCCTCCATCAAGCATGTACCCTGGACGCACACAAACAAACAAACAAACAAACAAACAAACAAGCCCACCTTTTGCCCAGCCGTGGGCTGAGATTTCATAGACAGGAAAACCTTTCCTGGCCAGGTCTATGGAAGGCTGGAGGATTCGGGAGAGAGGCAGCTGAGGAAGAAACATTTCTATCAATACCTTCCCAACTTATCATAATAATAAGATAATAATAGTGGCATTGGTGGTCTAGTGGTTAGGCTCTCGGACTCGCATCTATAAGGTCTTGGGTTCGAATACTGTCAGGGGCCTCATGTTATATCCTTGGGAAAGGCACTATACACGAATTTTCCTCCTTTCACCCAGGTGAGAATGGGTACCCAGCTATAGAGAGCGAAAGATCTTGTCAGTCTGCCAGTGTTTGAGCGCTTAATCAGCTGCTTGCACTCTATTCTTCCCCGGAAGCCAAGAATATTTCTGAGTTATATGGTCTGCTGGAGTAATAATATAGTGTAAAGCACATAGAGCTTGCTGTCAAGCGGGGGTACGCATTATACAAATGCTATTTATTATTTTCATTATTATGATTATTATTATTATAATGATAATGATCGTCTGTCCTTCAATGCCTGACAAAGACCAATGCATCTGCAGAGAAAAATATTGCTTAAGAGAAGTAGAACAAATGTGGCTACAGATATTATTATAGCTTTTTAGCTTAGTTCAGTCAGAACATTAGCAGTTAGTAAAATGACATAAAATGTGGAAACATGCAGGATATCGCGTATGGCTAAAAGAGCACCTGGACATGGATGGCTGGTGCCTCCATAAACACATTATTGATGGTCACTATTGCGAACATATTCAGTTGTAGACTCATTTCTCGTTTGTATGCATGTGTGCAATGATGAGCAACTTGATCTACGGGATTTTTCTTTGATGTTTGCAGGCAACATGATGCAACAGTATGGGATTTTTAATGCAGCAACTGCTTTCTTGAAAATTTGCCAGAAAGCGGGAATAAAAAATGCTTTCAGATTTCAATGATGGAAGAGGAGATGTAAGCCCACAGTACTGTGTTGTATCCATTTTTAGTACATGCGGGCTCCTGATTTTTACTGAGATCCTGCAGATTGACCTTTAGCAATAGATTTAGAGAATAAACCTATTTATTTATTCTAGCAACAGGTCAAAGCACAAAGCCATTGACATTAGAGAGATTTAAACAAAAAAATTAAAATTGTTTTTCTATTTTCTTTTTATTATATTTTTTTAACAAATTAAAAAAAAATTCTTAAAGTATTTGTTTTACAAAAAGAAAGAAATTTCTTTTTTTAAAAAGACTTTAGGGTCAGAAAACGGAAGCAGGACGTACAAACTCCGCTCACCTCGTGGTTGCCGAAAGTCTCGACGGTATCGACCCAAGCACACGCCGCTCCCGGTACGGTCACCGAGTGCCCATGCTGTGGAGAAAATCTGTTCCCTGCCGTGAACCCGTCGGCTTGAATGGCCGCCAGCGTCGCTCGAGAGGAGGCTCTTCCACTGTATGGACCCAGGGAGGAGTGAAATGTACAAATGTGAGGCATCTTGGTGAAATCAGGCGCCCGTCAAAATAATGAAATCGGAAGATATCAGCATTTTTCTGCCGGTTTGGCAATTTTTTGAGAATTTTTATTTTTTAGTGCAACACCTTTTACTTCCATCTAAAAACAGTTATGTGTGGATTTTAGTGAACAAAGTTGACTACAAGCACCCAAAAAATGTAAATTTTCAGTTTCTAATAATTCTCAAGCTTTGGAAACACCAAATCTTGGAGGCCATTTTCTCACTAATTCTCCCGTTGAAACCAAGTGACCTCTACCTTCTTCAAAGGCAATTATCTCGACTTCTATTCAAGATTTTTATCAAAAGACAGGCAAATTAACAAGCTTTAAGATGATACCAATAACTCCACACACCCAAAAATTGACGAGTGCCTGATTCCACCACGTCGTGACACAAATGTAAATGTATGTGGGGGTTTTTTTAGCTCATATTTTTTTTAGTTAAGAGTTTCTAGGGTTTTTTTAATTTAGTAGAGGTTTTACGGCACTCGCAACTGCATAAGGTCATATGAGCGCCAAAGGGTGGATGTCAACAGAGAAGTCTTTACAGATACTGTTTATACCTCCCATTTATTCCTTTCAGAGTCTTGCTGGCTGCATCGTAGAACAAGCAAAATGCGTCACCACCGATCCCCGTGGAGGACGGTTCCAGCACACCCAGGGCAGCAGCCACAGCCACAGCAGCGTCAGCAGCGTTGCCACCTTCCTTCAAGACGTCTGAGAAAAACAACAACAGCAGCAACATAAATATATACCATTGCAAAGAATTGTGAGAAATCGAAATAATTCTTCATGATTTATTTCTTATATTTCATTGCATACATTTTGACACAAGATGTTGGGATATATTACTATACTGCCGTAAGCTGACAAAACGTCTTTTTTCATTATGGCGCCAACATTTTTATTTGCTAAATCGAAAGCCTGATTAGTAACCCTACTTGTATGAAAATATAAAATTGAAGCTATGACTAGGTTCTTTTAAATTAATTAGAATTCAAATTTAAGAATGACTCTATTTATGAATTATTACGCTGACAAAAAAAGAACAATCCTTTTTCTCGAAACTGCTCTGAAGAAAAAAAAAGCATTTTGTCAGCTTCCGGCAGTATAGATATCAATTTTTTCAATCTGCAAAAAGCCAATAAAAGAAGAGAGCAAAGCGTAATTAAATATTTTTGAAAATGGTGAATTATTTATAAAGAAATTCATCTTTTTATATCGCAAGTAAGTGGAAATCAGTGCGGCAAACTGTCACTCAAGATTTCTTCAAGAAACAGCGCAGTTCCAATATTTTATCGCATAAACATGCTACACCCCTCCAGTCCACAGCTGACATCTGATAGAAGGAGAACACAATTTGCTTCACCTAATCCAATTTGAGAGGCTAGGGCGTTGCTGCTTGCTGCACATCCATTCTGACATATCACAGCAGACCTCCTGGACTTGAACTCAAACTTCTCCTCCATTGTACCAGAATCGTCAGACCTAATCAAAAAAACAAAAACAAAACAAAACAACCAAAAAGTTGTGAGAGATTCACAAACATAAAGAGCGACAGGGACGACAACAACAAGGTGCTGAGCCGAAAACTGCATGTAGTGGGGTACATTTACTGTATGACACATATCAATGCCTTTCACCCCTGTCAGGGTATAGGCCACATACAAGCTCCTTCCATTTATCTCTGTCCTGAGCCATCCTTCCAAGCTCGTTCCAAGTGAGCTTCATTTCTCTCCTGTCCCTTTCAACGCATCTCCTCCATGTTTCCCGTGGCCTACCCCTGCCTCGTGCTCCTCGTGAGTTCCACTGCAGTAACTGACTTGTGATGTTTCCGCTGGACTGTATGACACATATACTGGGTACTATATAACATGAAACTAATAAACCAAAGCTGCGCATCAAAAAGATAATCTGAAAGTTTTTAAATAACGTTATATGTTCCCATTAAATCAGGGATGGTTGGCAGCTTAAACTGGTTTCTCGTCTCTCTGTCTCTGTCCTGCCTAACAAAACCTCTCACTCACCACCTGAGGTGCACGAGAAGTGGGAAAGAAATTTCAATTTATTTATTTATTTATTTTCGATTTTCTTGTTTTAAAGTAAAGGAGCTAGATCTATACCTTGTAATTAGGATGTCTATGGTGTAGCGTATAGGATGTTCACCATTACATGCAATAGACGTGGATTCAGTTTTCAAGTGGGGAAAGTTTATTTTCGATTTTTTAACATCGAGTAAGTCCATCTGTCTTTGATGGCACTGTATCCAATTCTACATCGAGCGAATCCTATTATACGGGTGCGAAGTATGGAGAATCAATGGACAACTGGAAAGAACAATTGAGGCCACAGAGTTGTGGTTCATAAGATGCATGCTGCGTATCCAATGGACAGCTAAAAAAAAATGAAGAAGTCTTTGTAGAAGCAAATTGCAGACGACAGCTTATGACGAATAATGACAGGCAAATTTCATTGGAAACACAATGCGGAAAGAAGCATCGGAGAATATTGTGATAACAGGCTAGTTTGATGGAAAGAGGGGCAGAGGCAGACAGAGAGAAAAGATACTGGACAAGTTGACAAACCATT